TTTTAGGCAAATTTCTGTTGGTATCATGTTCCGGAAGTTATCCCAGTTCTCCAGAACTGTCTGTAAAGTTAGCTCAGACGGTAAGACCAACTTCAGCAACCTAGGACCACACCCTTTGTAATTTGGTGACACGGGAATCCTGGCCATGGTGGTAGCAATGACATTTTCTAAAGACAACGCCTCACAAATGTATCGCCATTGCTCCATGTCATGTGCCTGAGCTTCTTCAGGAGAGGAAGCTTGAGACTCGGGGACGCCATGGATAATGACGGTTTTCAGCGGTTGTTTTCTACTTCCCTGTTGATTGTTCATATCCTTTGAACGTTCTTTCCACGGAGTATGCGGTAAGATACATACTCCGTACGATGCTCTGTGGTGTTGATTTGCAGCGAGCAGAATGGATTCCGTTTCTTCCGCGGAATGTAGTGTTACTCGAAGTAGTCGAGGTTCACCATAGCGTAAGGTGTTTGAGTGTCGTTCGATGCGGCTCAGCGTAGTGGGTTCAGCGCGCATGCTTATGGCACTACAGATGGAATCCCACTGACTACGACCGTCTATAAATTTGCCCTTTATTTTGTTGGATTTGGATTCAGGGACGTTAGTGCACACAAGACTTAAGGCACCATGATTCCGCCTTGTGGTTCGCGACTTAAGAGCACTAGGTTCTTTTGTTTTTTGTGGAGTTGTGAACCGAACTGGCGATAGCGATCCATGTTAAGGCACAGTTTTGACGTCTCCGGTAAATGGAGTCACAGGTGTCTTTGACAGCGTTTTCCTAAGAGCAGCCGCTGCGTAGGGAGTCCAGTTACTGTTTACCGTGGGCTTGCCGGAGTTTTGTGTTTCGAGTATGTCAACTGAATTACTAGTTATTACACCCTTGGAGAACGTAGAAGTAAGTGGGTTGTGAACGACTTTTTCACTTGGTGGAGTCATGTGGCTAGGGGCCGTTGAAGACTGAGACGCGATGGTGAGGTTGGGACACCTGGCCCTCTTCTTCGGCCTAAACCGGGAGTTTGTAGGTGTCCGTTCAGTTTGAAGTATAGCACTGTTTACTTTCACAGATGCGTTGCTGGCGTTCACCAGTTGCTCAACTGTTTACGCCAACTTTTCACACTTCTTCATTAGGAAAATTACACTACTAACAACAGGGATGAATTTGCACACCTGGCAGAACCAAAGTGCTTCGGTTTTGCTGCTATATTGTCTAGTTTCGAGTGCACTCATCTCTAAACACTTCGAATGGTAAGCCTTTTGACAGTTAAAGCAAACGGGACCAGACTTAACGGTTTTAACACATAGGTCACAATTGACTTTCGATTGGGCCACATCCACTTGAGGCGTGTACTTTGTTATTGTTACTTGCATCATTTCCAAAAGGGATTAGATAGAAAAGGAGAGTTCAGAATCTATGTTGTAGATCTATCACCATTAGCTTACAATGGAATAACTTTACTGTTATATGTGGTCACGGTTAGTAATGGGGCAGCGAATTAGGGATGACCGCAGATGGTGGTGATATGGCGTAACTCCAGAGTTGCTCTTATGAGGGAAATTTTCAGCTAAATTACCTAACGTTCAACTTTACCTTACACTATCTCATAGACGTGTCGTAATCATAAATGGTTCACTGATTACTAGACTATCGTCATACCAGCAAGATTCAGTTATGAATTTAATGTCTACATGAGTTACAAAAACGAATGGGCGTATTATGTAACTTTTCTATGATAGTGAACGAATGGTGATCGAAATATTCAGTGTTGTAAACTATGAAGGAGATTGTTTATTTTGCCTTATAAAATTTGGAGTCAAAAAGTGTGTGCCGGGGTCTGGGCTAAACATTGTTGAAACGACGTGTATTGCCTCCTACACTGAACGTTGATTGGGAGTTGGCCAGAGCGGACGGGGTTGTGACTGAGTAAGTTGTTACAATTAGAGTTTGTACTAGACTAAGCACCAACTATATTTATAACATGTAAGTAAATAAATAAAATGGTTATTCTCGACTAAGCGAGGCACGCCTGCACAGACATGATCATGTTTGAGTACAAAATATGATCAGTTAATGTACAATGGAACAATGGGATTGTCGCATATGTTGATATATGAATGTATGTAAGTGTGTATGTGGGCGTGTGTAGCTGTGTTTATGGAATGCGTAAATGTGGTTCTGCTCTTTTGATCATGCTTGAACGTGTCGCCAGTGTTACATAGATGCTTGATGATGGTGAACTTGAAGCGGTTGTCCGGACGAGCATTGGGTGACTTTAGTTGGTGGCAAGTCACAACCGCCACGTCACTGTGTTGTTAAACGGACATTTGTGGATTTATATTTGGAAAACGCTTGCCAGGCGAAAACCCACCAAGTCGTGGAACACTGCCGCCGAATTACTTGCTGCAAAGGGGTAAACCCGAATTACCCAGCTGGCAACACGAGGAGATTGTTCGGCAAGCAAGCCATTTATATATATATATAAATAAATAAATAAATATATATATATATAGAGAGAGAGAGAGAGAGTCTTCTACACTTAGATACAGCCATTAAAAGCAATGGATTACTGTAAAGTACAGTTTCCATAGAAAGTGAACCGAAAATAACCTAGACCAGTCCACGGTTTTGTCAGAGGAGAAAATACTACCAGGTTGTCAAAGCCGAAGTTCAGTGAAAAGGATCAGCACCTCGGGCCTTTGGCTAAGCAACCTACCGGCAAGGCAGCGAAAGGATGTCTGGAACTCGCGCAAGTCTGGAGCCGGTGGCCACTTGTGCATTTGCAACGCCTCTACTTTGGTCGGATGCCAAACAGGAACCGGATCCACCTGCATCAATATAAACGTTTAATAGAAAGTATACTTTTACATCTTTGCAATCAGTGAATACTGGCCGTTCGATTTCAGTCTAAAATTTGGTTGGTTGGATGTCCAGTAGCGCTTGTAACGTCCAAAAAGATAACTGCAATCTTTCATGTACCATTTAATTGTTGACCGATTGTACATTATTCCTTCTTGTTTTATTCTTCTTTGCAACCGGTTCGACACTCGACCGCCTTGTTACTTCCTGCGCTCACGTGTTCGCTCTTGTCTCGCTTCAATCGTCCGTGTCTTGTGTCCGATTCCAATAGCCTTCTGATATCCGCGCTTAATTTCGCGCACCTTATCGGACTAGTATTAACTAGTCCTACAAATTGGTGACCCCGATTCTCACGCGCGAATTCAACTTTTTTTCGTCGTTTGTATTTTTTGTCGAGTTCGTTACTTTTTCTGGATTATATACCTGCATTCATTTGTTTCTTGCATAATTTTAGTACTTTTATCGTGTTTTGTTCATCTTTTAATTTTTTCGATTCACATTTTGTAAGTGGCATCTGAGTCGTTTCGCAGCAAAAACATGCTTACTTTGGCTGTTCCAAGTTTCATGGAATACATCCCAGAGGTTTGGTTTACAATATTCGAGATCGAAATGGAAAATAAGGACTTTACGGCGGACCGTCCGAGGTACAATCAGCTCGTCCCACGCCTTCCTTCGTCGGTTGTGACCCTGATTGAAGACATTCTACTCTGCCCATCGAATGAGGCAAAGTATGAAACGATGAGGCAAGCGATTTTAAAAGAGTTACGGCCCAGCGCACGAGCTCAATTTGAACAACTCAACGGTATCAGGCTTAGAGATCGCAAGCCGTCGGCCTTGCCCCGCGAACTTCAGAATATTGCTGGTTCCTTATTCTTGAGCGATGAAGGGATATAAGAGCTGTGGTTTATACGCCTACCAGAGCCATTGCCGGTAATGCTGTACATGTTTATAGATACACCCCTGAAAGAATTAGCAACCAAGGCAGACGCTTCGTTCGAATGTTTTCCGCAGCTGACGACCAGTAGCTTCTGTGACATATTCTCACCGATGAAAGCCGAATCCCATATTTGCTCCCAGTCGTCAGGCCGATCTGCCCCTAAAGAGGAGGAAATTGTGCTATTTCGCAACAGGATAGTAGCAACGAAGGCTTGGAAACGGCGCAGCAGACTCCGACTTCCGGCGAACTCCCATTCGACACGAACGCTCGCTCATTGTTACTCGGCACGCTTTTGCCTTATGAACCCTGATTCAACAGTCCTTTTCGAAATCGAAGACTTTCTATGTTCAGCCTTCTAGGGTGGGGAGCTCTGTAGCGCCCAAAAAGATAACTGCTATCTTTGATGTACAGTTTACTTGTTGACCGATTGTACATCATTCCTTCTTGTTTCAATCCTCCTTACAACTGGTTCGACACTCGACCGCCTTGTAAGTTCCCGCGCTCACGTGTTCGCTCTCTTCTCGCTTCATCCGTCCGCTTCTTATTGTAGCCCATCGAATACAGTCCGCTGTGTCCGACTCCAATTGCCTTCTGATATCCGCGCTTAATTTCGTGCACCTTATCGGACTAGTATTAACTAGTCCTACACGCTGATGGTTGCCTGATCACACGTTGGTGCGGCTGTTCGACAAATTACCTCGGTTTCCAATTTTGCCTGCCGTCTCTGGTTTAAGGGGTCAGCGCGCATACTTGAATGTAGACGCAAATTTTCGTTTACTGCTATTCATTGTTATTTCTCAGTGTTGCTTTACTGTGTACTAATCAGCAGTGCTGGTGTGAAAATGCTGAAAATGCATGCAAACGGGTGGATAAAGATTAGTTTAACTTGACACATCTGCTACGCATTGCGACTGGATCTGGTCAGTATGAAGGCCAGCAAAATGCTAATCGTCCTTACCTTCTTCAGAAAGCAATGTTTTTGTATTGACATCGTAACCACCACAAAAGAACAGACTCGTTATAATCACTTACCATTTTTCGAACGAAATAAAGCAATTTCGAGTGCCCTGTCGAAATTCTGCTTTAAGTACACCGACGAATCACGTGCTGTCAGATGATACTCATGCCACCTATCTAATGAGTCAGGTGGCCTTGCGCATAAAGTACAATAAGAGTCACATATATCTATCAGGTGGCGGGACCGGAACAAAAGCCGACAAAAACCGAAAGGTGAGGAGTTGGTGAAGTGAACCGACACGTGTAAAAGTAAGTCATTCATTGCTAGTATGAGACCTCAGCTAGTTGGACTGCATGTAACATTTGGGATTTTGACACTGGTCTCGGTGGGTTCCGCATTATATACTGTGGTCTGCTTGGAGGTCCTCATTACGCAATTCGAGCTAATTGTATGTTGATTGTTGTAACGATGCTTTCCCTCTGCTCTCTGCCACGCCTACTTAGCCGGGACCAAAACAGAACACTGAGACCTGCTAGACCGAAATATATGAAGCACAGACCACGGTTCATTTTATAGGTCACAACCTACCATCTCCGGTTTCATACTGATGGTCTGAGTTCATCAGCTTCCCGCGTGACTTAGCCGTGTTGCTGCCGCAACGCGTGTGATGACGAACTGATTTCATCAGCTTCCGACATGACTCAGCCCTGCTAACGCCGGTCGGGTAGCAACGCGTGTCCTGAGGATGGACGTCTCGAAACCGTGTTGCGATCTTGGGTTGTGGCATCCGATTACCTCTCTTTTCGAATTGAGTCTGCTTGCATACGGCTCGAACTCGCTTTTGCTTCATAGCTTTTCTTCTTGGGTCAAATTTTAGTCATTGTGGTCATCTCCGCTTTCGGATTGGCCTGCATTCTGTGTCATCTGATGTTTGCACGTTCTGTTGTGATCCACATAGCCGCTCAGCTTCTCTTCTAAACCAAGCTTATCTGGCAGAATGTCCCACAGTAAAGATGGCGGTTCTGGGAATCCTTGACTCGCCGTTTTTTGGTCTCAGCTGATTGGCGTGTCGGACCCAGTTCTCCTTTCATACCATTAACTCGTAAATGACTTGGCCCTTTCTGCGGATCGCTATTCGTGTTGACCACTTCCTCGGTCCTCGGAATTCTTGCGCGAGCACCACGTCACCAATTTTGAAATGACGGAGCCTGTCTACCAGATTTTCCTCTACTGGACAACTGTAATGCTTTTCGTTTCTGCTTGGCACAAGGTTATCGAACAACGTCCAAATAAAATTTCAGCAGGGGCTCTTTCATCTGGGGCGTTTGGGTTTGCTGCCTTCCGATACATGCACAGGAAAGACTGGATCGCGTCCTTTGCGAATTTGTTTTGTCCCACTTTACAAAGAGTACATTTGTAGGTATCCACGAACCGTTCCGGCTGTTTGTTTGATTACAGATGATAGGGTAGTGCGAACATCTGCTGAATTCCTTTCTCGTTGCACCACTCGCGAAAGAAAGTTGAAGTGAATTGTGTACCGTTGTCTGTCACCATTATCTCTGTGACGTCGAAACACTGAAACAGCTTATCCAGCTCGTTGCTCGTGTGGTGTGCAGTCGGACTTTGCATCGTGAGCATATCGGGCAACTTGAAGAAAGAGTCCACCAAAACAAGCTAGGATTGATGGGCGATTGGTCCTGCATAATCTAGATGGATTCACTTCCATGGCTTCTCTGCTTTGCACCAAGGTTGCCAGGGGCACTTGGGAAGGACCTTCGCCGCCAGCTGACAGGATTCACATTTGTGGTAGAATTGTTCAATTTCTGAATCCAATCTAGCCCAATAAACAAAACTGCATGCCAAGGCTTTCAAATGGTTGGCACCTGGATGCCCGATATGAAACTGCTGCAAGACTTGCCTGTTCAACTTCTTTGACACTACCACTCGGTCTCCAAACATCAAACACTTGTCCACAACGGACAGTGACGCAGGGATACCACCTTTTGGCCAACTTGTTTGCAAGTAACCCATCACTATCTCTAGGGTTCTGCCTCTGGAAGTCTCCACGCGAATGGTGTCAGCTGTCACTGGTAATCTTCTGACATTATCGGTCAGAATTCGCTAGACGGCTGACTCGAGCTTGATGGCTGCGATCACACAATCGTCGTTCTCCTTTGGGTGCGAATTGAGGAGAAGAGACGGGACAGCTGCTTGGCCGTTTTATTGCGCAGATCGAGATTGTATACTACAATCGTACGCCAACAGTGTAGCCACGCATCTTTGTAACTGATTCGAAGTAAAAACGGGAATTCCTTTTTTGGAGCCGAATATTGACAGCAATGGCTTATGATCAGTCAGGGGGTGGAATGCCTGTCATAGAACACCTTGTGGAACCACTTCATGACGAAAATCATTACGAGTGCTTCCTTTTAAATCTAACTATAGTTCTCAGCTGACGTTAGGGACCGCGCAGCATGTTCAATAGCTTTTTCTCCTCTGTGCGGGGAAAGGGGGGAAATAACAGCGCCGAGGCCGTAACTGGAAGTGTCCGACACAACGATGATTTCCAAGTTCGAATTGAAATGAGACAATAGTAAATCAGAAGTGAGTGCTGCCTTAACTTCGTCAAAAATCTGCTGGCATCCCCTCATCCACTTCCAAACATTATCTTTCGTCAGCTACTGGTTCCGCTGACCTCCGATTTGATGCAGTCTTGGTAGGAAAACACGGTAATGGCTCATGAGACCGAGGAATGAGCGAAGCTCTGCGACGTCTTTGGGAGGCTTCATCTGTTTGAGAACAACGCTATTGGCGGGGTCCGGGAGCCGAGCTTGTTCCCCTATGATAAACCAGAGAGATTTAACACTACCTTATATGAACTCACATTCCTCATCCCGTAATCGAAATCCAGCTTCTACCAAACTTGAATCAATCTCTCTAGTGTTTGCATCAACCCTTACTGGTCTGCGCCCATAACCAATGCATCATCCAGGTTGATCGCAGTATTGGGGATATCGTACTGCAGAGTTTGCATAATTTGCTGTGCAATTGCTGGTACGGTTTTCATCCTAAATGCTAGCCGGTTGTACTGGAAAAGCTCGAGGCGCATATTAACCGTTAAAAATGTTCTGCACTACTCGGCAACTGGAACTTGCAAATTAGTGTCAGCTTGGTCAAATTTTGCGAAGCATTTGCCACCGTTGCGTTTAGAGAACAAGTATTCTGGCACAGAAAATAGGTACTGATGCGTCTCCAACGCAGAATGCAGTCCCGTTGAAAAATAAGCACGAATACAAACCTTACCGTTCGCTTTCTTTACAACTACAATCGGTGTCGCACATTCTAAATAGTGGATCCCTTCGGATTGTAAACGATTTAGCTCGGCTTTCACTAGCGATTGAGTTGCGTACGGCACCTGGTGCCCTGGTCTGAAGTCTGGTCTGGCATCTGATTTATGGTTCCACTTCGCCCTGGTTACGCGACAGCATCAGGGACCGGGTTTGAACAACGTTTCATGGCTGCGTTTCAAGTCTACAATTTGGTTGTGCAATTCAGAGTGCAGCGTTGGCATCTGCGTAACTTGCTTGATTTTACAACTGCTGGTCGAGCAACTTCCACTCGTCCATCCAATCGAGTCCCATTAAATCTAACCCCATTTGGTTTGCCAGAAAGCAAGCTGTGAGAATTTGTTGGCCTAGGAAATTGACTTGACAGTTCAATTCAGCAAGCAATCCAAAGGTACCACCTGAAGAATTCCGTGCCCGTATGGGTTGTTTGTGGAAGTGTTTGTCGCCTCAGCCTGCACCACGTGTCACTGGAGATCGAAGTGATAGCTGAAGCAATATCAAGTTGGAACTTGACTTGCCTGCCATTGATTTCCACCAGGGTCTACTGTTGACGCCATTAAGATTGAAAGTCGCAGTGGTCATTCTGATCGCAGCGGGCCGTCTGAACGGTGTGGCATTGTTACGCATCTTTGTGGACAGAGTGGGACCAAGTGCCAAACAACACGACTCTTTATGACCTCTTCTGCCGCATCGGTTTCAAACGTAATTCTTAACTGGACAGTGACGAGCAAAATGTCATTCTCTATAATACCAACAAGCAGAGGAAGCTTTGGAATGTAATGGACTCACGTGAGCTGATGCTTTTTGGGGAGTCAGCATGACTACACAAATGGGGTCATACTCGTTCGTTTTTGATGACCGCTGAATTATTACTGTATCATGCTTCAGGTTCGTCTGTCTCTGGCACTCACTGATCACCTGTAACATTATGTCAGGATTCTGTTTAATCGTGCGCAGTAGTCTTATTCGTATGTCTGCATCTTTGTTTGCTTGTAGACCGCCAACGTAAATGAATCACTTAGACTGGTAGCCTATCATATTGTGAAGCTATGAACATTCACACTCGCGCTTTACACGGCTCGAGTAGGTGACCCAAGCTTCTTCTTTCTTGGTCATCTTGAGACACTTGTACAAGGTGTCGAACAAAGACGCCTGCTCATCGAAAATTAGTTAGACGGTTGACAACTTCGTCAAAGGATAGGTCAGTGCACTTCTTTAGCAAGATGCACTTTGTAAGCATTTCATGTTCAGCCGCAAGCAAGTTCCGGAACATCACTTCTGCACTTTTACAAAATCAACTCGAAACATATCTTTACACTTGTGAAACCAAGAAGCGAATTTCACATCAACCACTGCCTCATAATGAATTTCACTGATCTGCTGAGTCCGGGTTTCTGGAAAGAGGATGCTTTTACTTGCCCCTAAAGCTGGACTGGACTGTATCGACAGCTTCTGCACCAACATCTCAATTAGCTTCGCCTGACGCTGCAAAAGTGTCTGCAATTATTTGAAGCTGGCTGCCATTTCCGGATTCTACTTAAACTCGCGTCGCCACTGTTGTAATGCTGCCCTTCGCCTCTTCCTTCTGCCAAGTCAACCCAGCCGGACACAAAACAGAACACCGAAACCTGCTAGACTGAAGTATATTCGACACAGATCATGGTTCATTTTATAGCTCACAATCTATCATCCGTAGCAATCTGTTTCATGCGGATGGTCTGAGTTCCTCAACTTCCGGTCTGACTCAACCCTGCTAACGCCTGTCGGGTAGCAGCCCGTGTCCCGATGATAGACGTACCGAAACTGTGTCACGATCTCATGCTGCAGCTTCCGATTATTGGTTTAGATCATGATCATCCCGCGTACTGGCCGAATATCCAGAAAAGGAGAATGCTAACGTACATACTGTCACGCACTTCAACATGTTAACTAAACTCGTTAAGGATACATGTTTACTTTCT